CCCCCCCTCTCCATCGCCGAAGTTTATAGTTATAATAAACGAAATACACGAATACATGGATGTTAAATCGTTTGCGATCCGATAATCTCGCGAAACGACGTGGACTGTGTACGCTACACTTGCTAGAATTTATAATTTTGAGAGTTGATTTCGGTGCAAGAGAGTAGGTACTACTGTTTATTACAAGCGAATACAGGAGCAATTTTGCATTTCAATATTACGGAGCAGCATAAACGTACACAATATATGCGGTAAACACGCAACAAATATTAAGAACAAAGAATATATTACAGAATATATTACTGTTTTAACTTTTGAAATCCTCTCTGCAGTAGTCACGTCGACTGTGTGAAGTCCGATATGAGAGAAGTTTTCAAAGTTAATGAACATATTTCACAACGATGACGTACGCTAAGCACACGTTGGAATGAAAGACCATCTCTGGCTTTGTTCGCTTTGAACGCAGCAGATAAACTGGAAATAGTCACTTTGTGTGTGATCGGGCACCGGACCGGGTCCTGCCGGGCTATTATGTGTTTGCATGCGAAACAAAATACTCGTTTCATGCTCGCAAAATACTTTTGCTATTGGGTGGCGCTGCATCATGGAAAAACTCTGTTATTCTGGCATAATTTATAACGTGACGTGACAAAATTGGAGTAAATAGGTAACCAATATTGAACGGGTTAACTGATACGCTCGATATCATCGATATTCTAACAATTCCGGCGTGCGCGCGCGCAAAAAGAAAGCACCTCGAATATCAAAGAGGCGGCAAAGGAGCACTCTGCAGCTTTTTTTATTCCATTATAGTGTATATAAAAAAATATCTGTATAAAAAGAAAGGAGATCGAAGAACTATGTGTAGAGAGACGGTTCCTCCGCCCCCGTTAAACTCATCTGAGTGATATGGCGCTTGTGAAAAATTCAAGATCCAATTCACCTTTGAAATCTCCGGTGAACTATCGGAAAGTACGGTTCTCTATGACGGCGCTGCGCGATTCCGCAGTGTATACTGACCATTGTTTCTCAGTGGCGATCATAATGCGAAAACATAATTCCCGAGCTACTCCACGAGCTCTCGTCGTCTCTTTACGAATATTAAAGAGCTGTTTCAATTTTCATTCAACACGAGTCAGCTTTGTCATGCGTTTCGAAATGTTTCGTAGCGCTCCGTTGGCTGTGAATCGATTCTCGGCCGCCTACTGCTTTTCCGAACAAGAGTTAATTAGGAAAATAGTTTTCACTAATTCTGTCTCCCACCTACGTATATTTCAGTTCGTAAAATTAATATACTTAATAAATAATACAAACATAATATGCTTAAATATTAACAATTTTTTAGACAATTCTAAAAAGAAAAAGTCAATAGATATTGAGACAAAATATCACTTGTTATCGATTATATGTATAAATTGATCTGCAATAAAATTTACTTTTTTATTTCTAAAGATTTCCTTTTATCCAAAGATTATCCAATAATTCATTTCTCTTTGACGTATTTCGATATCTCTACTTTGAATTTATTTTGTATTTTTGGAAGAGAAAAAAAAAGTATGTGCAATTTGCCAGATATAAACTTATCAGAATTTATTGAGAGATTATATTTATCTACACACTCGCATGTAGACTTTAATCGGATTTTTTTACGTAAATTAATATCCATGAATAAATTCTTTTAACTTTCTCTGTATAATTCATTAACATTAAAGTCTAAATTTACTCGCAACCGGAAAGTTCGTACATCGCTTTTGTCCTCCGGAAAGTACTTCGATTACGTCGATGTCTTATACGAGCGTCCTTTACGGGGCACGTGAGCTCGGCTAACGCGAAACAGCGATATTACGATGCCCGGCGCTATCTTCCAAGCATAAAGTAGTGCTTAACAACTGCGTTACGTGCTTTACGTTGTCATTTCGTGCCGATCGTGTTCATGGTAAACGCTACTGCTGGAAAATTCGCACGCTTGTACATACACACGTGTATACGCACGTAAGTATATCTGCGCACGTCTATAAAATAACTCGCACGTAGATTTTAAGTCCACGCGCACGTTAAATGAAAAGTTCGATATATGCACCGTCTACCATTTCCTAAGTTTTGCGTCGCAGTTCGCCATTCCGTATCGGCTCATTCGAAGTGTAACATTCTCTTACGGCTCGAAGTTCCAGACTATTGCGAAAAAAATCCTTTCCGCGCAGTTTCGAAAAAACTGCTAGAATACTTTGAATTTTACGCGTTTTGTGTTGTCCGATCACCATCGATCTTTTATCGTATCGTTACACGCTCGTATCGTACACTGTAAAATTTGTGAACGCTGCAATTCCACGTTATCCGCATTAGGATCAGGTAAATAAATCAAATATTTAACGATAAATCGCAAAGTAAAGATAAATATTGAAGATATGCGACTTATACAGAGAGAAAATAAAATAATTATGTTTATGAAGAATCGTTTACATCATTTTGTCATTAATTATCTAAAAACTTATATTTTCCATCATTACATTTTATCTCTCTTTAAAAATTTTTTTTATAAAAAAAGTAAATATTAAGACATTAATTATTGTTTTTTTTTTTTTATAGAAATGTCAGTTATGGAAAATACTAAAAAAAATACCAGACAAAGTAAGTTTTAATTACGTTACTTTTTCTATTTTTATTGAAGGTATTTCTTAACTTATGTATGCTTTATAAGACTATTCTTATCTTACGTATGCATTATGAATAGGGAAAAAAGAACTACAAAACAATATTGAAAATGAATTATCAGACAATATCGAGAAACAAGAAGAGAAGAATGAAGAGCCACCAAAGAAAAATCTCAAATATTATTTTAATAGATTTAGATACTATCATTATTATTATGCTGAGAAAATTAATTCTTTCATCACAATAGTATGCATGTGGATCCTTAAAATTCAGTTCTACTTAATGGGTTTTAGAGTTAATGGACTTCCCTCAATTCACGAAATTGAGGAACGTGGTTTAGAGGAAAAATGAATTTAAGAGACACTATTATATTATTTTATAACTCCAACTATACTTATATGTGTGTAATCCAATTAAATATAAAAATAAAACAAAAAATCCAACATAATATATAGGCTGCATTCGAGAAGCGTGCTATCATAAGCTACGTTCGGCATGAGTGCTATCAGCAGTATTTCGTTCTTGTTTTCCATCCAATTAACAATAAAGACAAATAACATTACAGAATAACGCTGATAGCGCTCGAATGCAATCATAGTAAAAAAAACGTCTTGAAAAAAACTAAGAAAATCGTCACATTATCTTAACCAATGCATTGAATAAAGCAATGAATAAAGAATTGTCTTAATTGATTACAATTTTTCTCCTCTCATTTGAATGTCCCTGGCCTGACTTATTTGAAACTTTCACGTTTCAAATATATATTCGACTGTATGCTGCTACGGAATTTCAAATATTCACGAGCCGATTGTAAAAGATGCAGTCCAATCTCCGCGAGGTGCTATACACGTAATGGAAACCCCTTTGAAAAATTCCTCAGTCTGTTGTTATCCGATAAAAGTTGCCTTGCTCGGTCACTCATTCAAACATTTTAAATGTTACTTACGAATCTCACGTAGCACGCCATTACTTTTTTCTAGTCCTACTTTGTCTCAAAGGAACATGAATACTCCAACAAGCAACCTTTTCTTTTCAAGCCATACGCGAGTAAATTTTTTAATTCATTTCCGCACTTCACTGCGCCTGTGTTGACATTACAAAACTTTTCCTAATACTCTTTCGTGCTGTACATACATTCGGATTGAGATCATTTATTTGGACTTATAGCACTATAATCTGTCTCTTACACATTATATTGAAAAGAGAAATTTTAAAAAATACAAAAGAAGAAAGAAAAACAGAACTGGATTTTTCAAAATTACCAAAAATTTATATTTTCCATCATTACATTTTATCTCTCTTTAAAATCCTTTTTATAAAAAAAATATTAAGACTTTTTGTTTTTTATTCTAAAATATTAAGACATTTATTGTTTCTTTTTTTTGTAGAAATTTCATTTAAATAAGTGGATAGTAAGTGATTAGCAAATCGATAAATTATAAAATATAAGGAGCAGAGATCTAATCCTAATATTTACATTATATAGAATGCGATGCGTGCGTGCAGTGTATGAATAAATAGAGGAGAGCAATATAAGTTTAAATTTACGTTAAAGTTTTTATATTTCTATAGGTTTAATTTTATAATTTGTTGGATAAATGCATTAAAATTTGTATCACGAGGAAGTGAAATTCTTTGTAATTTTGCAGGGGATAAAATAAAGTCTTTTACTACTATAAACAATATTTATAGACTCATCTTATATTTGAGATCGTCCTAAGTGTGATTTTAAGATAATAATAAAAAGATATTATCATATTTGAGATTTAAGACTTGACATAGCCTTATGTCAAGTCACAACTATGAAGCTATAGAGCCATTTAAGATGATCTTGAATAAGTATCTTGTAAGATTGTACTATGAATACCGCCTTATGACGGACCAACGTTGTAATCTGGGATAAATGATAGTCGCAGCCTCTACATAGGAAAAGGTACGTCAAGACCGGATGGTTGGAGACTAGCATGCAACAAAACGAATTCCTCTCGTGGAGGCTGAGTCCACAAAATCGTATCTACCGTAGACATATGTATTTTATGCCAAGCGTTATGGCCTCGTGGTTGATACTTGCATTATATCGTACATAGGGATATCTTCTATATAGTAAATGCAACAACGGCAAGCGACCTATTTCTCCTTCGAGAAACATTCGGGAAGAAACAAAATGTGAAGTCATATATTCTTCTCGGATGATTTTCGCGTTTAAAATGTTAAATTATCGAACACGCGTTGAGAATATATCTCCTCACTTATATTTTCGATTAAATCTCTCATAATTTCGAAACATGAAGTCAGATTACATTTCGCAAATATTATCTTCTCGTTTACATTGATTAAATTAAAAAAATTATACAACATAATAACATTGATCAATTAAATAAATATCTGTGTATATGAAAATAATTAAATGACATCAAACAATACGTTAATTGCATATATTTATAAACTAAGTAGCTGTGACATGTAAATTGGATTATTGCTTACGTTTACATGTATTAACCCTGATACACGCAATAATAGATAAATTATGAGTGACAAAACAATGAGACGCTTAATTAATATCTCGGACGCTTTCATATATATATAGATAGAGCTATTTGATTTCAGTTAATTGAAATATTAATTGTATAAATTGTGGAATAATATACATTATTCCTTACTTACTATATTAAATAAGATAATAAATTCAAATTCGTAAATATCAAAAAATAAACTAGCAATCTGCACGAATAGAATGTTAAATCAAGTTAGTCGCAATGTATCGTCACGACTATATATTGTTTTATCATTCGCTAGTCATAATGTAAATAATCTTTATTTTTCTACTGACACGTCCACAATAAAAGTCGCTATTCTTGAACTTTTCGTATTATAAGTTTGAATATAAAAAACATTTCTCTAATGCAAATCTGAAATATAATTGCAATACTTTTGCAATATAAATAATGTCGTTAAGCATAAACCAAATATCTGACGTAATGCAAATACATATCAATATTGAAAATCTTTGGACAACTAATCCGTAAGACGTGTGAATTATATCGTGAAACATTTGAATATAATATTGGATTAACGTAAATTAAATATACAAGTATTTCTGTCGGTTTACGCGTTTCATAGCTTTGATGCATACATGCGCACAAAAATTTAAACGCACGTCTCCTGCAGCCGTCAGCATTGCTGCACCCTCCCCTCCCCTTCCCAGCATGATAATTTATCAGGATCATTCCGGTGGTCGCAGAACGCGAGCGTGAACAGGACACCCGGCGGATTTATGATAACGATAACATTGAATAATTCGTGGCAACGATTGATCGCATGGTCACGACGAGATGCACCGATGCGACATTTCAGTGGAATTGCGCAAGCGTAGGAATTAATGTACAACTAGGCATTTCAATCAACAGAAAATTTCATTAACCGATGACTTAACCGAAAGTTAATTACACAATTAACACAATTACACAATTTTAAGCGGGTGAATTTAGTAAATAAAAAATTCTAAAATAATGTCTACGAATCTTATAAGTTATAAGAATCAAGACTGCAGATCCAAAATTACAAAAAAGGGTAAGTTTGATGAAAAAACAATCGCATTTTTATTCACACAAATATTTCGGAAAATTATAGATTTTATTAACTTTAATTTGCTAATTGATAAAACATTTATAATGCGTCTATTCGTTTCATAGACAGCGAAGGTAATTGAGGAAAGAAGAGCCCTCAACATTTCAAAGGTCGTTATTACGATTCGCAGACATTAAGGTTACAAACGACACGTCGGCCCACGCGGCTCGATTTCCACATATATAACTGCGGCATATATCACGCGAAAGCTCGCCTCTCTGTGGGTGGAGACGCGAGAGAGAGTAACTTCCGAAAGGCCGATAATCTTTGCCTTAATTGAATGGCGAGGGGAGAAACAATGATTCAAATGTTTGTGACGCACCCCATTTCACGCTTTTCAGAAACTACCTAGAAGATAACGTGGGGAAAAAGTGAAAAAGAGAGGAAAATTATAACGTCTCCGCAATAGGGAAACACAGTAGGGAAAATAAGGTAGGATGAGAAAAGAAGAGAAAAACAAGAGGTCACTGTAAATCCGCGACACTGTGTCACGACGATTTGCAGGTGTACTGCCAGTAATTACGTGTCACCAAACGTGGCAATGTTTTGCGTTTTATCTGGCCGCCGCGCTACCGCGCGACTGTTAACCGCTATGTTACATTCCACAAACGCGAGTCGTACGTCTCGTCGAAATCGAGAGAGATCACCGAAGCAATCAGCCACGATTTACTATCGTTCTGATCGAAGGACAAATGGTCTATACTCTACAACAACAATTTACGAACGATGAGAGTTGCATCAAAATAGAGTTTGCATTTGATAAATTAATTAATCCGAATTATAAAACCGCGTTGAAAACAGATATTTGGTCGATGCATATAATTATTCTCTTTTCCTTTTAAAGTTCATACGCTTTTATTATCATAAAAGCACTGTCCCATTTCGCGATAAGACTCGACGTGGCGCAAACAAAGTCGAAAATTGAGTCGCGTTCATCCTAAGATACGACACGACAGAAACGGCGGCGGAAGAAAGGGAGGTCAGGAGTTTAACGAATGGGGTGGCTGAAAGAAGAACGGCGGAACTGGGGGCCCACTTAAGAGCGAAAATTTTCGCCTAAAGTCGACGAATAAATAATTCCCGAACGAGGCATTTCCGTGGAGCAAAGACCCACCTTTCCCTGGTATAAGCCTCAGCTTCACCTCTCCGTCCTCCTTTCCGAATTGTGTAGGATGCAGAGGCGACTTTCCCCTTCCTGTGGGACAGCCGCCCTTATCACCCATTGATTTACATCTCCAGTTGTTCCTGCGGGAATCCGCCTACCTGTCGCACTCTTCCTCTCCCCCCCCC